AGAAGCTACCTCCGACACTTGGGCTCCAGCAACAATCACAGCTCACATTTGTAACAAAGCACTTTCCTCATAAACAAAGCTGTTAGAATAGCTTGTGAGGATTACCACCATTAACACTAAAGGACACAGACTCAGGGGAAATGACTTGGGCTCATAGGATTGTAGGAGCATAGATTTAGAATCAGATGGGGATCTCAGGAGTCCTTCATTCTACGGGTGAGGAATCTGTTGCCCAAAGAAATCACAAGGTCACACAGCTGCAGTGTCAGAACAAGAATTCAAACCCACATCTTCTGATTTGAAGCCCTGGGCTGCAGGTGGTGTCCCTTTATCCCCAGGATTGTTTGCACTTTAATCACGTATGCAGGAATGAAGTAAGGAATTCCAAATTCCATAGCTTTGAGCAGAAATGGGGACTTTCACAGCACACCTACATAAACCCCACTCCCCACAAGCATTCTCTGGTCCCTGGAATATTTTATTTTCAATTGAAAGTCTGGGGGAAAAAATATTAAGAGTAAAAGCAGGAACTCAAAATTTTTAAAAATGCATTCATTTTAAAATTCATTCATTTTTAAAATGCATTAAAATTTACATATAATTGGGAAATATTTAACAAAATTAATTTTAAAAAATTTTTAAAAGAGTAGTAGTAAATGTTTGAGCCAGAAAGGGTTTTAGAGACCATCTGGTAAAAATCTTTTATTTTGTAGATAGGGAAAACTGAGACCCCAAAAGGGGAAGTTATATAGCCCAGGTCACAGGGCTAGTTTGTGGTCCAGTTAGGAGTTCTCAAATCCACAACTCTTATTTTCTTGTCCGATTTATACCTTTCTTTTTTTCTTTCTTTTTTTTTAGTGAGGCAATCAGGGTTAAGTGACTTGCTCAAGGTCACACAGCTAGTACGTGACAAGTGTTTGGTCTGAGGCCGAATTTGAACTCAGGTCCTCCTGACTTGAAGGCCGGTGCTCTTTCCACTGTGCCACCTAGCTGCCCCCCCCCCCCCATTTATACCTTTCAACTTGGCTTTGAACCCAGCCCTTTGCCAAAGTTTACTGCTGAGAAAGAGGACAGAAGACCAACCTGGACTAGAGGGAAAAATCTAATTAGCTAGTCAATTTAGTCTCCTCAGGTCACCTCCAACAAATTCATTTATTATTTAATCTAGATCAGAAAGCACCATGCAAACCATGAAGTGCCACGTAAAAACCAACAAGTGTTTCTCTACCCAAGGTATAACTGCCTCCTTCAGGAGCCTCCTCTCTCCCATTCAAAACTCCAAACATTAAGTACCTACTATGCCCAGGAGGACCTGAAAAGAATGAATAAGAACTAGGCCCTGCTCTTTAGCTCATAATCTAGATGGAGAGATAACACTCATTCCAAAAACAACTAGGGCCAAGAGATAAGTACATAGGTACAAAGTGCTAGGAAGGGATACTACAAGGAAGTAATGAGCATTTCTGGGAAATGGAATCATCCTAGGAAAAGCCTTCTTTGATGCAAATGTGGAGCAGGGCACTTATTAGGATGACCTTGGACTGACTTTGTGACTTCACTGAACTTTCCACTTTGTTTCTTTGAGAGTTGAAATTTCTAACAACACTTTCAGATATACAAAGTGCTTTCTTTCACAAAAGCCTAGTGAGGTTAAGTAAGCCCCATTTCAATGATGAGGAAGAGGTTGCCAAGCCTCAACCTTGGATCACTTCCACCATTCAAATAAAAATAAAAAACATTCTTTGTCAGATAACACCAACAACAACTGTTCAGACTTCTATCAGAATGTAGAGGGGTGAGTATGGCTCGCCCGCTGCCCAGCTAGTAGGCCTTGTCCAAAGCCCCTGGTCTCCTAATTGCTCCCCATGCCTGAATGCTTTGGATTTGAGAATAGTTCTTGCAATTTTCAAGAAAATTCTTGGCATTCTGTAATTATTATTATTATCACTATTTGTAATTATCCTGCTCCAGAGTCTCTAGACGGTCCATTTTCTCCTTCTCTGGAAGCACTTCACTTCACTCCTTGAATGAAAGTGGAGAAAACTACCCAACCCTTCTGATTGGATCCACCACAAATTTATGTTATACAACCTCAACTGGGACCTCACTGCTGATGGGCAATCCCGCTATACCTCTCTCAACTCACTATTGCCCTCTCCATAGCAGCTCTTCCAAACCTTATCATCCCTCTTCAAACCTCCATTGGCTCCCCTTTCCCCTACTCTCTCAGCTGAGACCCTTGCCTCATATTTTACAGAAAAAATTGAGGCCATTTGCTATGAACTCTTTCTTTTCCCCTCATCCTTATCACCTAATACTCAGGTGCCTTCTGCCACTTTGATGGGGTTGGGATCTGGGCCGCAGAAAGGAAAAGCCCAGGACTTTCCCACATGTCCAAATCTCTGGCGTCGGCCTGAGGCTATAATCCCATCAACCGGCCTTTCATTGTGGCTACACCCAATCTCCCCTTCATTGTCTTACCTCCCTATGGCCCCCAGCCATTTCCCACCCTTCATCCTAGCTAGGCTCTATTCTCCCTAGACCACGTGGTCCAGGTCCCTGGAATTCTATTACCTCATAGACTACTTGGCCACTCCTAGATCCCTCCTATAGGCTTTCTGTATATAAAGTCCATCTTGTCTCCATTAAAATGCTTAGATTCTTATAATCTAGCCACTGCTTACCGGTGTTCAGACTCCTTAAGAGTCTGACCAATGTGATGGATGTTCTAATAAACCTTGTCTTTGGCGGAAAGAAGGCTTGGGTCGAATTCTTTCGGGCAGGACCCGCGTGTTGTGATTTTGGGGTCCCAGCACCCCTGAACCCCTAAACCGCATCAACTTCATCCCTATGTCATATAATGAAGTGACTTTACTCCTTACCAAGGCTGACCCCCCAACTTGCATAAACAATTCCACTCCATCCAAATTCTTCCAACAGATTGCTCTCTCTGTCATCCCCACTCCATCATTTACCTTCAATCGCTTTCTCTTTCAGCTCACTTCCTACAAACAAGCCCGTCTCCCCTATCCTAAATGACAAAACAAAACAAAAAACCCTCATTTGTTCCTCTCATCTATCCTATTTCTCTTCTGCCCTTTGTAGCTAAACCTCTCCTCTCTCTCTCTCTCTTCTCTGCCCCTTACAATCTGGCTTCCAACCTTATCATTCCACCTAAACTGTTGTCTCCTAAGGTGTTGATTGATGATCTCTTAGTCAACCAAATCCAAATACCTTTTCTCAATCCTGACTCTTGTAGACTTCTCTGTAGCCTCTGTCATTGATGATTACTCTGTTTGCTGGTACTCTCTTCTCTTTAGATTTTTGGGACGCCGATCTCTCCTGGTTCTCCTACCTATCTGACCCTTCAGATTTGGTTGGATCCTCCTCCAGCTCACTCCCTCTAAATATACATGTCCATCATGTTCAGTCCTGTGCCCTCTTCTCTTTTCTTTACATACTACTTCACTCTGGGATCTAATCAGCTCTCGGGTATTTAATTACCATCTCTATGCTGCTGATGCTCAAATCTACCTATCCAGTCCTAAACTCTGCAGACCTCCAATCTCACATTTCCAATTGCCTTTCAGGTCCAATAGACATCTTAGATTCAACATATATGAAACAGAACTCATTATCTTTCTCCTTAAACCCTCCCCACTCCTACCTTACCTATTACTAGAGGGCAATACCATCCTCCCAGTCCCTCAGACTCACAACCTAGGAGTCAACCTGGATTTGTCGCTATCTCTCACCCCCACTATTCAAGCTTTAGCCAAGGCCTGTTCAAATGAGCCCCTTTCTCTCCTGGATACTGCTACCACTCTAGTGCAGGCCCTCTTTGCCTCACCCTGTGGTTATGGTAATACCCTCTTAGTGGGTCGGCCCACCTCATCTCTCTCCCCACCTCAATCCATCCTCCATTCAGCCACAAGCAATTTTCCTTAAACACAGGTGCGATCACATCAGCCCCCTACTCTACATACTCCAATGGCTTCCTATTGCTTACAGGAGCAAGTTCAAAATATGAAGGGCTTTCAAAGCCCTTCATAACCTAGTCCCCTCCTGCCTTGGCAACCTTCTTACATTTTACTCCCCAACAGGTATTGTTAAATCCAGTGACATTGGCTTATTGGCTGTCAGTTCTGGGCTTTTACCCCCCCCCCAATGCCTGGAATGCACTCTTTCCTCTGCTCTAACTACAGACCTCTCTGGCTTCAATTAATATCTCACCTTCTATAGGAAGGCTTCTCTAATCCCTCTTAATTCTAGTGCCTTCACTGTCTGTTATTTCTTATTTATCCTGTATATGGATTCTTTTGTATACATTTGTTTGCAGATTGCCTCTCCCATTAGATTGTAGGGTCCTTGAGATCAAGAGGTCTTTGTACCCTCGGCATTTAGCACATGGTAGGTACTTAATTAATGTTTATTGATTGATTGAGACTGGGGCCAACCAGGCATTCCAAGGCTCATTAGTGGAGTGCTATTTCCAAGTCTGATAGTCTTTCCACTGCCTGGGGTGTGTTTCCCACTAGACCTATAAGGTCCTAGAGAGCTAGGCTTCCACAAAAAGGCATTCAAAATGCTCCAGGGAGCAGAGCTGCTTTCAGAGAAACAACTTCTAAGTGGGAGATCAAGCTAGGCCTTTCAGGTTTGGTTAGAATGCCCATACCAAGAAGGGAAACATTGGTGAAGCCGCCATGCAGGGTAGGCAGCGGCTCTGCTATTTGCCTTGGCAATGCTTTCTGCACATCCTGGCCTCATCACTTGCCAGCTTTCCAACTACTGGCAAATTTGAGAACAGCTGGGAGATAACAGGACTATTAACATATATATGCCACCTATGGCAAAGAACTGTCAGCCATTACTGGCTAACAATCATATTAAGGGATTCCTCCCTCTCCACTATGGGGGAGATGGGAATTCAGGGTCAATAGAAGTTTGGGATCACTCTCATCCACCCTCCCACCCCCGAAAAATGAAATAGAAGCAGGGGGTTTGAGAAAGCTTTTTATTTTTATCCAAAATATCAGTAACAGACACAGTGAAAGGCAACTACAAAAAGGCAGGAAGTGCCCACTCCCACCACTCAGTCACAGCAGGGGGCAACAGGGAGTTGGGTGGGGGTATCGATGAAGGAAGAGGGCAGAGACCCAGCCAGCTGGAGTCCTAGGGCAGGTAGGGGATAGGGAAATCAAGTCAGATCAGGGAGTAGCTGTCCCAAGGGAGCAAGAGCATGGGCAGGTTGGGAAGAGCTACCCACCCCAGCCAGCAGGGTGGTGGTGGGAAAGGGAGTCCCCAGAAGGCCCTTCTCTCTTCACCAGAGATGATCCTTGGGGCTGACTGTCTGGGATTTTTCTGCTCTCACCTATAAGGAGATGGTTCAGGACAATGCCTCAACCAATAGTCCCAGTCAAGTCCCCTACCTCCAGGATCTCAGACTAAGGCCAACCAACTCTCAACACCATGGCTACTGCCGCCATTCAAATTGGGAGAAGGCACCAGAGGAAGAGGTCAGGGAAAGAATTGAGAGCTGAAGTCAACCACTCAAGAACTCCCATCCACCCACCCAACCTATTTTATACTCTTTAAATCACACGTTTTACTCGAAAAATATATCTCTATCTAGAACTGAGGAGAAAGAACAATATATTACATACTAAAATAAACAAAGGCCCACCATTGCCTACAACACGAACACAATTTGGGATCTGCAAGAATCTATTTTCTTGATGTGAAAGGATAACCTTGGAAGGGGTTGAGGTGGAGGACAGGGTCTGAAGTATCAAAAAGGAAGGGATCAGAGAGGTAAGGAGTGTCCATAAATAATAAAAAAAATTTTCATAAAAATCACACCCCAGGCTCTCCCCTCATTTCAAACAAAAACAAAACAAAAACAAAAACAAAAAAAAAAAGACACATAAATAGACAGGCCACAGCAGGTGCTAGAAAGATGCTGGAGGCAAAGCCCACCCAAGCTGGTATCTCCCACCATGCACCAGGGCAGGAGCAGCCTCTACCCCAAGGAATTAACTCTTCAAAAATTGGAAAGTTATTTTTTCAAAAGTTCTTTTTTCTTCTTAAGAGAAAACTCTACAAATCACTTCTATGTAAGCATTCACCTGTGTTTGTATGCTCTCTCTACCTACTCACCCTACCCTCAAAAGAAGTTATAAAAGGAGTCCTCAACAGGCCAAGACAACTTGTCCCCGATGTCTTTTCCCTGGTTTTTACATAAGAGCTGCTGTTTCCCACTATTTCTTCTCCCTGATGTTACCCTACAGTAATACATTGCTATGGGGTGGTCATAAACATCTCTAGGTGTTAATAGCTTCACTTCCCTCTCCTCCACCAATCACAATGCCTTGAAGATATGGGGTGGGGCCCTGGCCCACCCCTACATAAAAGGACAGCTTGTTCTGGACAGAAATGAGAGACCTGTAGGACCCTGCCTATACTGCCCCCCCCCCAAAAGGGTTGGAGTCTATCTAGTTCCCCTCTCCTTCCTCCAACTATCCCCTCTCAAATCAGACTCCAGAATGCCCAATATTAGACCAGGTATCATAAAATTCTAAGATCAGAGCAGAAAAGGATTTCAAGTGATTTCCTTATCCAGCTCTGACTTTCAGGCTAGAGAATTATTGCCATTTTTATATGAAACAATTGAGGCTCAGAGAGATATGAGGAACTGGTAAAGGAACAGGAGGGAGGGGAGAGGGTGGGGATAAGGAAGGGGAAAATTTTCTCTTATATAACCTACTCCACTCTCCCAAACGCAAAAGCATCCACTTTGTGGGAAGAGGGGGAAATAAGCAGAAAGAAACAGTGGAGACACTCTGGTTGGTCAGTGCCTCCCCCTCCCACTGAGGTGCCAACCCTCCCTTCCCCACCCGTAAAGTCTATGCTCTGCTGCCCACTGGAGGGCCTCATGCGTAGAACTCCTTGGTAGGGGCTTTCTTGTAGATGGGCTTCTTGCCCAGATCATAGCTGCCTTCATCCTTCTTTTTCATTCGGTAGATCAGCAACAGGACCAGGAATATGGCAAACAGGAGACCCACAGCACCACCAGCAATCAGAGCTGCAGAGGAGGAAGAAGAGAAAGGTATTAGAGCTTGAAGGGACTTGGGAACAGAGTAATCTGATGCAGAAGGGACCTTCAAGGTCATCTGGCCCAACCCACTCCTTTTACCGACGAGGGAGGAGAAAACAGCCAGAGTGGAAAGGTGACCTGCCCCAAATCAGCATACCCTCTTTAAGAGGGGGGCAGCTCTGGGGTGCAGTGGATGGAGCCCCTGGACCAGAGTCAAGAAGATCTTAGATAAGTCTGAGTTTCCTCATCTATAAAATGAAGATAATAGTGCTTACTCCCAAGGTACTGTCCAATTTACTAGCTGAATAAAGTAACTGAGGCATTTACTTGCCTTCTCTGAATCTTAAATGAACTACTCTACTCATCTGTAGTATGGGAATACTTCCACTGCTTCTTTGAAGGAAAGCTGTGAGGAAAATACTGTGTAAACCTTGAAGAGTTACTATCAGTCCAAATCATGCTGCCAGATGGTTGTACTTATTCTGTTTGGGGGAAATGTTTTCTTTTGGGGAAGGGAAGTCTGATTGTTGGTTAGAAATTGTCTAGAACAGATAAAATGTACCCCTATTTCAAAAAAAATTTAAGTGACACAACATGAAAAGGTTATAGAAATGGGATTCCTTTCAGTTACAGTCTGTAGCTACATAAACGCCTCCACACACACACACCCCCAGACACCCCCCCCCACACACACACATAGTCTCTTTGCCCCAAGTATTTAAGCCAAATTACCTGCCAAGACTTCCGTCTTCTCAAAGATGCTGCCTTGGGCAGTGCTAGACATCGACACTTTGTTACTTATATTTTCTTCCTTAAAAGAAAACTTCTTGGTAAGGATCTCATTCTCCTCCAGCTCTTCAGAGTCCTTAGGATCCTGGCTTGAAGGCTCAGTCTGCTCAAGGATGTGGTTATCCAGGGGCACCTAGAAATGGACAAAGTATCCAACAGGTTTAGGAAAGGAGGCCCAGCTCAGTGTGCACATGACAACTGTGGTCATCTTACACAGACAGAAAGAGAGACAGAGAGCAACAAAGATGGACAGGTACACACATATGCACATGGGCTTCAAGTAAATGCACATGCGCACAGACAGACAGACATACAGATATACCCCTCCACAGCTCACCAGAAGACTTAGGAAGACAGTAAAGATGATTCCAGCTGTGGGTAGGACAGATCTTCTTACTCACTACATTGCCAGGCAATTGAAGCCCACCTTGCCATTTCAGTTTTATTCATCACCCCCCTCCACCCAACCAAGCACTCTCTTCTCCAGCACCACTGGATCATCTATCTCTTGAACACATCTGTTCACTCTCTCTTCCCTCCAGGTTTATGCCTGTGATGGTTCCTATGCCCACAGTACTGCTGCCACTCCACCCCCACTCCCACCTCTAAGTTCCTATTTTTCTTTTTCTTTTGAAGTTTTTTTTTATTTCAGTACTTAGACAAAATATCCCCATAAAATTCAAAATGTCTACCATTACAAAAATAAGTCTCTACAAGTGATTTTCTGTCTGCACCACCAGTAGCAAATATATTAAAACAGAATCATATAACTTCAGTATAGTCTTGCAGTAAAAAGTACAGGACACTTCAAGCTACACTTTCATCAGTAATAATTTGCAAAAGTTTCATCTCTTTATCCCTTTGATAAATACAGTCTTCCACAAGTTAATCATTTAAATTAGCTTTCCACAAATATACATGTAACTTAGTGATTACTGTACATGAACACACAATGCTTATATACATAAATTCCAGTTTGCTTAGATGTGTTGGCAAGGGAATTGTATACAATCATAGAGCTGTGTTCATGTTGGTCCCATTAAATATGCACAATACAAAAGCACAGAAGATGCATCAATTTACAAAAGGCAATTATTTAAAGTCACTACAACTGATGATGCTGTTCAAGGGATTATCTTCTCATGCCAGCATGGAACCAAGTGTATGAAGCTATTGACCCTGACTACATTTAACTAGTTTTTTCCAAAGCTAAACTCAAGCCCTATCTCCCCAAGAAGGCCTTCCCAATTCTCCCCCTGCCCCACCTTTACCTTCAGCACTTTGTTTATACCTCTGATTGGCATTCAGAGTCTGAATTATCTGTTTGCAGGTTGATGCCCTTCCTGCAGCTCCATGACATCAGAACTTTCATTTTATTCAAACCCTGTGTCTTTTTTAATATGGAACTCAGCACTACACCCAGTAAGTGCTTAATAAATGCTGAACTGACCTTGGAGCTTATGCCCCTTTAGTATCATATCAAGTATATCTGTCCAGGAACTAAGGATGTATATGTACATGTATATGCATGTGTGTAAACACATTGGCTGGATGGGAGGCCTCTCCTACTCCCCCCCTCCCCCGCCCCCAGGCCATAAGGGAGGGAGTGAGGAATCAAGGCTAGCACTACTCACCAATGGCTGAAGCGTGTTAAGCAATGTCTCAGATGACTCGGTATCATCTATAGGGACAAAGGATGGATGTTAAGACAAAGATGGCAAGGGAGCTCAGTCTATGTTTGTTGTTTAGTCATTTCACAGTTATGTCGAACTCTTTGTGTCCCCATTTGGGGTTTTCTTGGCAAAGATATAGTGATTTGCCATTTCCTTCTCCATCTCATTTTACAGATGAGGAACTGAGTCAAACAGGGTTAAGTGACTTGCTCAGGGACACACAGCTAGGAAGTGTCTGAGGTCAGATTTGAACTCATAAAGATAAGACTTCCTGACTCCAGGTCTGGCACTCTATCCACTTTGCTACCTAGCTGTCCAGCCTATGTTTAGATGATATGAAATTAGCCCAGCTCCCACCTAGAGGGAGGCATACATAGCTAGGATCTGGGAATCCCATACCAGAACAGTCTTGTCCTTTTGTCTGCCCTCTCCAAAGGTCAGAAGAGAACAGGAGGGAAGGATGGTACAGACAGCTGTAGGCCCCACAGCGGGGCCCTGGACAAAAGGAAGACTGGCCTGCATTCTAGCTTTGCCACCCACTTGCTGTATGACTACAGACAAATCACTTTCCATTTCTAGGCCCTGGATTCTTCCTTGAAAATGAGGAGTTTAGATTAGATCATTTTTGTCTTTCTGCCTCTAATAGACTTGAGCCCACAGCTGCAAGGAACCCTAGAGACTATTTAGTCTCCTCCCCTTCCATAAAAGGGGGCTTATACTTGCTAGCACAGAAGTGAGGAAAACACATTAAACTCATTTTAAGCCTCAAGGCTCTAGAGAAAGGGCAGAAGATAAATAAGAAATAGGGAGATGGATTTCTGGGTCTCTTGATGCCATCCCCTTCTCCACCTGCCCTTGGGTGGACCCAGGGCCTTGTTCCAGTTCTCTGAAGATCAGCCACCCTGTTTGTCACTTGCCCAGTCTACCCTACCTTAATCCAAAGCCCAAGCTTGCTCTCATCCTCCCAGGCCAGTTTTTTCCCCACTTCTTTACCTCCCCTCCATGGCTCCCCTCCCCAGCTTTGCCTACACATGCCCTACTGGTTTCAGGGCTGGTACTTCTCCTTTCCTCCCCACCCCTGGGCACCCCAAGCTAAAGGGCGGGGACTGTTAGGACAGGTTGGGGCCAAAGCTCTCAGAGAGCAAAAGGCTCAGAGGCAATTTCATAGGCTGTCGGAGATGGAAAGAACCTGAGTTCAACCCCCTCATTTCTCAGGAAGAAGGGAGCAGCTGAGTACTGCAGAAGCTAAGGGACTGGCTCAAGGCCACACAGTCAATGAGAGCTGGGGGTCTAAGTCTCCTGACTCCTGGTCCTGGGCTTTTCTCAGGTTCAAACATTTATTTCCCAGAGCCAGCACCAAATAGGACCTACCCTGGAGGTATTCAGGATGAAAAGGATCATCTTTGCCTTTAAGTTCCTATGAGGGAGTTGGAGCCCAGACCAGAAGAAGAGGCCTCTCCAACCAAGGACTAGCAGCAGACGGAGAATATTAATGGGGCCGACGATGGGCTGTGTTCCCCCAATAACTTTGGTGAGTGCTCTGACGATAGTCAAATACAAAGAGAAGCCCACATTCCCCAACCCCCAGGGTCAGCCTTCTGGGGCCAGAATGTGACCAACTGCTTTCTAGAATTACCCTTCCCTCCCTCTCATCCTGGGAGAAATCTTAGAACTCTCCTTCCCAAATTCCATTCAGCACCCTCAGGCCGACCTGCCCATCACTACTTTCCGAGAAGGAGTTAGGCCTTACCTGTATCTCCCGAGCCGGACAGTTCAAAGTCATCAGGCTCTTGTTCCAGAAGGGCCCCTCCCACATCCTCATCATCTGGCAGGTCTCCAGAGAAGTAGTGAGCTTCATAGAGGTCCCGGGGGTCCATCACTTCTGTCTCACGGATCTGGCCAAGAAGTGAAGGCCTGTCAGCCAACAGTGTCTGAAGTCCACTCAGCCAGCTGACTGATGGGACAAGGAGTCAACCCCCAACACCAGGCCTATCTAGAACACAGGATGAATGTGCATCCTGACACAAGATGGGCAGGGATGGGGGCTTAAGGAATGTAGCCTGAGCAGAATGGGAAGGTCAAGGCCAAGCTCAAACCATTCTGGGTCTGCTGCAGGGAAGCCAGAAGACACAGCCCTCACCCTGGGAGAGCTGTCAGTCAAGATGCAAGAAGGTGGAAGGTCAGGATGGCAGGACTCACCCCTCTTCTAGGGCATTAGGAACCACCATAACCAAAGCTTCAGGGGCTTCAATAAGAGGTGAAAAAAGCAAATGTGGGATACAGTGGACCTTGGAATGCAGGCATTCCAGCCCAGCTGCTAATTTGCTGGGTGACTTTGTATGACCCTAGGTATGATGTATCCCCCATTTTAATGTGAGTTCCTTGAGGGCAGGAATCATGTTTTTGCCTGGTTTTGTGTCCCCTACGTTTGGTATGGCACCTGGCATATTGTAAATAATTAACAAGTGTTTGTTGACTGATCACTTCTCAGAACCTCAGTTTTCTATTCCGAAAAAAATAAATATCCTCCACGTAGAGGTAGAAGGGCGAGACAGACACAGAGGGATCTCCCAAGTTTGTTGCTTACAAACTACAGAATCCTGACTCCTCTGAATTCCAAGAGCAACCCAGGCTTTTCTCTTAGGTATCTGAGGCCTTGAGACTTGATTTCCCTCCAGCAAAGCTATGAGGAAATGTATATCCCTCCGGCAGACTGCTGAATAAATAGGCCTGACCAAAGTCACCTTCTGCCAGGGAGATGAGACTGGTCAGGTGCTTTGCACAAGATGGGGGGTGTGTGTTAGGTGGTGTGTGTGGTGTGTTCCAGCCAGCCATGCTTCCAGCTGCCCCAGGCTCTAGGATTCAGAGGATCTGTTCTAGTAGGTGGCTACAGAAAGAGGAGACCCCCCCCCCCCCAATCCCTTCCTGCCTACCAGGATACAGGCATCCACATGTTCTGTAAGAGAGGAGCTCCTAGAGCCTGCCAACAAGGCCAAACCCACAGGCTGCTCGCGGGGGCTAGGAATTCCAGCAGCAAGAGCTCCTGATTCCCAAACCGTGAAGTCATCTCACAGCAAGGGCCTTAACCCCTTCTATTCTCCCCTTTCCTCTCGGGGGGAACTGTTCAGAACACTATAAAGAGCCCTGGCCCAGGGAATCTGGAGGCTTAGGCTCTACTCCTAGCCCTAGTCTCTGATCTACTGACATTTAGCCTCTCTGGGAGAAGGCTCGCTTCCTTCTCTGATAAATCAGGAGGTAGGAAGAAATTGTCCCTGTGGTCCCTCCTTGTTCTAAAGTTCTATGATTCAGAGCTGGGGCTGCCCAGCAGGGGGGGCGTGTTGCTACGTGATGCAAGTAACCACCTCTCTTGCCTCAGTTTGTTGAATGGATTTGTTTGGGTTTTTTTTTTTAACCCATCCAGGAGTTACCAATAAAATCAATGTGAAAGTAATTTGAAAATGGCAAAGGGTTATCTAAACACATGGGTATAACACAGCTAGATCCAGAGAATCCAGGCAGGGTGAGTGGCCACACTTGTGTGCTCACACACATACAACCTCTGAGTCAGCCAGGCTCCTGGCACCACCCAGACCCAAGGCTCTGAGTCCCAGTGCTCAGCCATCCTCCCTACAGAGCCAGCCAGGCCTGCTCTGGCCTTCTGACAGCTTCCGAGAAGGCCTGGTTCAGGCTTAGCTGGGAAAAAAAGGTGTCAGGGCTGGGGGAGGGGGACTGAGGAGGAGAGGGAGAAGAGAGGAAGTGAGACGTGGAGGAAGGAGGCAGCCACACTCTCCCATCAAGCATTTACTGGATCGTAGAATCCCAGAATTTAAAACAGAGAACGTCAGAGCCAAAAGGAGAGAGGGCCATTCCCTCATGCCTGGAATGCAGGCCTCTCTCCTATCTGCATGTTGAAATCTATTTCTCAACTTTCTCTGATCTTCCCATCTTAGGAATGACCCTTCCCTGGTTTCCAGCACCCTCAACCTCACATCCTATTTCATCTGTGGACATGTGTAACCTCTCCTAGAAGACCATAAACTTCTTGAGGACAAGGAGATTTGTATGGAGTAGGTACTCGAGGTGTGTTTATTTTTACTGATTCTTGTCCAACACTGAACATGGGAGCCAGCAGAAGTTTTATAAGTGACATAACATAACCCAATTTCTTTCTTTTACAAAGAAGAAAATGGAGGCCCAGGAGAAAAGTGACTTGCTAAAGGTTATACGGGGCTAGAGGCTGGCACAAGAGCAGTGATGGGCTCCAGCAAGCTGTCAATTGGCAACATTTCAGAGTGAGTTGACACCTTGAAAATAGGCAAACTCTACTCTAAGAAACGCAATAATACAGATTAAACTTAAATGTGTGTCTTGCATTTTCCCCCTGGAGAGCTGATTGTTAAACATATCAGCACACTCCTGCCTAGAATCCTAGGCAATTATGGGACCCTGAGGAGGTAGTATATTAACATGCTCTGGGTACTGCCAGCACTAGAGGTAGGTGTAAGCCAGAGCCAAGATGGAGGCACCAAGCCTCTGGCCTGGAGACTCACGGCCGGCCTTTCAACTCCCTCCTAACCCGTCCTTGTAGCCCCTTTTTACACAGGGCCGATTCAGCACAGGGTAGCTTTCTTTCAGAATGCAGGCCACCCAGCAGTCTATGTCTGCAGAGGCATACGCCAACAGTCCCCAGAGCCTGGCCCAACTACAGGACAGGAACCACGCTTTTAAGAGCTGGGGAAGGTCAGCATCCCGGGGTGCAATTTGCGTGTGTATCTCCATAACTTCTCCCAGCCAGTCTGCAGTCTCTCTGCCTCCCTGTTCTCACCACCCGAGAAAGGTACCCTCCCAGAAAGAGACACAGGGTTCTCTTGACCTTTGCTGGGCTCCAAGGACAAAAGGTTGCTAAGCCTCATAGCCTGGACTGAGAGTCAGGAAACCTAAGCTTGAAGACTAGCTTGAACATCTATTACAGCTACATTAAGTAAATCACCATCTGATTATGTTCTTTCAAAAAAAAAAAATGGGGAAAATGCTGATACTACCTCTCTCCCAAGTTTGTTAGGAACAAAATATTAAAGAAATGGGAACTAATATTATCCTAAAGTCTCTTCAAGTTCCTGGACTCGGAGTTATAGAGTGATGGAGGGTCATCCTCAGGTCACTTAGTCTAATCCCCTTATTTTACCCATTAGGTGTTGTTCAAAATCACAAAGCCAGCAACTATCAGAGGCAGAATTTGAATTCAGGTCTTCAATTCTAGAGTCAGAGGAGCTCTTCACACTGGATCATGCTGCTTCCAATTTGGAGACCACAAATGCCAACAAAAGGCTTTGCACACACAGAATCAGAGCCAGACCCCTTTTAGGGACTTGTCCAGTCCCCTCATTTTGTATGAGGGAAAACTGCCTTGCCCAAGGTCAAAGAGCTATGGTCTTTTTATGACATGGCTGTGGCTGCCCTAAAGTAGGGCAGGACACAGGGTGGAGGAGGAATGACAAAGATGGTGACTCCCTACCCTTAAGGACCCCTGTGGGTCAGGAGTACCAGGCTTACAGTTAGAAAGTACACAAGGAGAAGAACCTCAGGGTTGGGGTAAAGATCCAGTCAGAAGATTTCTCCCCTCTACCCACCCTTCCAGAAGGACGAAGGCATCAGACGCCAGTTATTCTGGCTATCAGACAACAGGCCCAGGCCGCCCAGAAGCCCCCAGTCCTAGAAGGAAGGTAGGAGAGGAAGGCAGGGGCACAGATGTTCCCCCGCAGGCTCCTGGAAGAAGCCCCCATGGGAAGGGCCTCAATGTCCTATCACCCACCAGGCTCTCCACTCCACCTCTCCTCCCTTTGCCCACAAAACAAACATAGCGACTGTCTAGGTTGTTTAAAGTACTGTTTAAACGGAAACTTGGCCCCTTCTCTAGAGGGCCCTAGGCAGGGCCTGTTTAACTGTTTGTGAGGTGAGGAGAGAGGGAAGGGCATATTCAGGGAAAACTTCTAAGACTTGGCTCCTGGGGTTAGAGGAAAGGGACTAGAAGTTAGAGATTTTCTGCTTCCTCCACTCCTTCTGAGGGTCAGAATGTCTGCTGGTTAATGGGTGTGCTCCAAGTAATGGAGTGGGTGCTGCTGTTCGTCTGGCTCTTGGGAATCGCTGCTGTCTATAGTTCAGCATCCACTGGTGAAAGCGGAGGGACCCATGGAAGAAACTTCAGGGACTTTAGAAGCCCTGCCCTTTCCCCACCCCATAGGATGAGATGTGCCCAGGGAATAAGGACCCAAGTGTCCCCCAACACCCATACTGGGACCGACTGTTCCATTCAAAGCAATAGTCCCCATCCTCAGTTTACAGTCTAATTGAGTGAACATGCATGTGCACAAATGTACAGAAAACACGATAAAAGCAGAACCATGGCAAAGAGATGAACCATTTAGGGGAGAGACGTGGAAGAAAAAAATCAGAAGGCTTCATGGAAGAGGTAGCATGTGAGCTAGGCTTTAAAAGGAAGAAAAGGATTTCAAAAAGCTAAGGTAGAGGGGGAATAGTCTGAGGCAGATTAGTAGATCTGGGAATAATCTGGGGGGAAACTTCAAAGCTAATCTGTTTGGTAGGCAAGGGGTCTTTTAAAACCTAAAGGCAATTCTGCAGCCCTTCAAAGAAAAACTAAGCAGGAATGGACTCACCCATGTAGTACAAAATTGGAGGAAAATGTGTGTGTTGGGGAGGGAGGTCGTTTGGAAAAGAGGGAAAAGTAGAAGGCTCTTGAGACCTGGAAAATCAGCCCAGTGACCACTGGAATTTGCCCAGCCTACCTTTTTTTTTTCTTGGGGGTGGGGTGATGGGGGGAAGAATGAGACTCACATTTCCTCCCCCTACATGTATTCGCATGCCCACACACACGTGCACTTCTAGCTCGAAATCCTATGGTCATCATCCAAGGTCACATGGGATGGTTGATCCAGAGGGCTAAGCACTTTCTCAGTCTCAGAGAATGTCAGAGCTAGAAGGGCCTTTAAAAACCAGTCTTCCTCGCTTTACCAGAGGCCCTAAGAGGAGAAATGACTTGTCCAAAGTCACACATTCAGTTACTTACACTCAAAGAGTTAAACCAGGTCTCCATAGGGGCTCAAATGGCCAGCCAAGCAGGCAGTTCGGCTCCAAGGTCGGATTACTTTCAACACAATCACTCTGGAGGGAGCCCAGACCCAGGCTGCCAGTCTCTAGGAGTTTTTTACAAGAACCCAGTAGGACAACCTATTCATCCCCACGCAGAAGGCAGCTCCCAGCTGGGGTATGGGGGGGGGAGGGGACATGGGCAGGAAGGCTCTTAAGTTGGGACCCAGTTCTGTACTTTGCATGGACTTCCCTGGCCAGGTGGCAAATTGGTTCTGGGGATGCTAGAAAGCGCTTGGATCTCTTTTTGAGATAGCTAAGGCAGGCCAAAGGAGAGGAAAAAAGAAGAGAAACAGCCCCAGTACCCCACCCCCTTCCTCAAGGGCTCACAGAGAGATGCATTGAGCCTGGCCTTTTAATCTGAGAACCAGATCTGAAATCCCTGCCGGATAAGTGTCCTGAGGAGCTCTCAGGCTCTGAACACAAATCTCCTGTTCTCCTAACCTCAGTCAATAGCCTCTTTCCAGGCCTGTCGTCCTTAATTATATCACCCTGTAACCAATCCAGAAGGCCTGGCTCCCCAGACTCTCCCTTCAGTCCCCAGGGGTGGGAGGGTGGGCATGTAGCCTTGGGAGAAGGCTCCTCTCTGGAAAGGGTCAGTCTGCCCCACAAAAGTTGGGCAAAGCAGGTCAGGCATCCCTAGGCTGGGGATAGATGAGGCCTCCTGATCTCTCCGGGTGATGGGGCATCCGCCAGCCCCACCCCACCCCCACCCCCAGGCTCTGAATGGGAGATTTTTCATAAGGTCCCAGTAAACAGGGTCCCGGCAATTGGCCACAAGCTGTTTCTCTGCTTGGCTCATTCTTTCCACACACATACTTGCCACCCCACCCCCTCACCCCTTTCCATTACCCCAGTCACCTGACTTCCAAGCTCCCTTGGCTTCAGGGCAGAAGGAACTGAGAACAGCTGGGCTGCCAGCCCCACACAGGGGCAGCCCTTCTTCCCCCACCCCAGACCACTGAGATTAAATAGACAAGGTCCATGGCTGATTGGCACACTGCACACTTACATTTAAGGTTGCTGCCCCTAAGGAGACCAGCTGGACAACAGGGGGACCAAGGACGCCTATGTATGTGCATGTGGGGGAGGGAGCACTCCACTCCTATTTCTCTATCCTGTTATCCTGCTTGTCACATAAAAGCCCATTTTACAAATGATGAAACTGAGTCCCAGAGAGGGGAAATCACATCACTCCACAGTACCTGTGGAGGCCCTGACTTTCAGTCCAGCACAGTCTCCATTACATGCAACAGCCCAAGCTCCTTCCTATTGCTTCCTTTCCACAGCACCAGATGGCAACTTGTAAGACAGATCCACTCCCTTTCCCCTCCCCACGAAGTACCTTCAACTCTGGGCCAGCAGACAAGTAGGGAGGGACACCTAAGAACTAGTTCTAGTTTAAATATAAACTCATTTGATAATTAGCAAACAGCCTAGCTCTTAGGTAAATAAATAGAGAATTCTGGATCTAGGCCCCACCACACCCTTTTCCCCAACAACAGAGCAGAAGAGCAGAGGGAGAAAAACAGCCAGGCTCCGCCTCCAGGACCCCTAAGGGAAAGGAAAGGAGCACCCCACCCCCACCCCAACCCCAACCTCTGCAGCCCAGGCCCAGGCTTAGGGTTTTTTGAACACTGGGCCTGATTTAGGGGCAGAGGTTAAGGACAGAACCAAAAACCCGATTCAGTAGAAAGAAAACACACCCGAGTCCAAAGCCATAGGTCAGAGCCCCAATTTTGGAACTGAAGTCAATTAACTGTGTGACCTGGTACAAGTCACTTCCCTTTTCCAGCTCTCAGTTTTCCCATCTATAAAGTGAGAGGGCTGGACAAGAGTTTGAGGGCCTATGCTAGCTAGTTCTGACATTCTGTGATTCTGGGTGCAAACA